ATGCACGTGATTGCGTAAGGAGTCGGGCGGGGGGCCCAGCGAAGCCGCGGGCCCCCCAACGGCGCGGGAAGGGCGACCAGTGACCAGGGGCCCCCCTTTGAGGTACGCCCTGGGGGGGGGGCACTGGAAAGACTGTAGCAATGCTCCCTCTCCAGGTCCTTGAGCCGAGCGAGGGGGGAAGGAGGGGGGAGGTGGGGATGCGATGCGACCACCGTTGCGGATAGCGTCCGGGCCTAGCTCAGACCAGGTGGGTGAGGCCGTGGCTTCAGACCATGTGAGTGAGGGGGGAGGTAGGGAAGGGGTGAGGGAGGAGGGTGTGGGGGAGCAGCAGGCTATGTGCACTCTCGCCATATCTGACATATCTAACATCCCACCACTCCCACCCATCCCTACGTATTGCACTAGTTGTTTGTTCCCCCATCCGCCAACGCGTGTCGTAGCGGACCTAGAACTCCAAAAAAGACTCCATCGTGTTACGCGCTATCGGAAAATGGGAGCCGCATACATTGGAGGAGGAGGTGGCAGATGAGCAGGAGGATGAGCAGGAGGAAAACGAGAAGGATGAGAAAGGATGAGGACGACGAGGACGAAAAGCAGCAGCAGGAACTGGAGTGGAAGGAGCAGGAGGAGAAGGAAGACCAGGAGAAGGCAGGGGAGAAAGGAAGCGGCCGACAACGATGAGGAACGACTCAGATCCAGAAAAGTGCCCCACGCTGGGGACAGAGCGCCACTCTGAACGACAGGAGCAAGGCTCCGAGCCGAGAATGAGACCCACGCTGCAGCGGGGGCGACATTTTGAAGGACTGGGAACGTTCGCAGTGAAAATAACATAAGAGAAATCCGCCGATCCGGCGTGTGAGTTTCAAGGAGTCTCAGCTACAGCCTCGAGGCTGAGCCTCAGCCTCTGGGGGGGTTGCCGGGGTGGCTCTGCCGGGGAAGGGGGGGTGGGGTGGGGGGGGGGGCGAGTTTCCGGCGGATGCGTTTTTTGACACCCCTCACAAGGATCGTGGCCTCCGAGGGGGTTCCGAACTCGAGTACCACCCCTCCCGCACCAAGAGGCTCCGAGGAGGCCTCCAAGAGGCCCCAAGGGGCGCAGAAGAGGCCCCCAAGAAGCCCCAAGAGGCTCCCAAGAGACCCCCAAGAGGCCCTCTAGTGGCCCCAAGAGGCCCCCAAGAAGCCCCAAGAGGCGCCCAAGAGGCCCCCAGAAGTCCCAGCCAACCACGAGATCCCAACCAGCATCCATGAGGCCTCTGACCCACCACCTACGCACGGTGGCGGGATAGGCCGACGGCCACTGGATAAATGCTGAGTGAGAGGAGGGGAGGGAAAAAGAGAGGAGGGACGAGGGCGAAGAAGGATCACATCAGTCGGAGCGCCCCGGATCGGCGGCACTGGCCGAAGGCCACTACAATAACATAAGAGAAGCGATCTCGTATCAATCCTGTGTACGAAACCGAAAGCGAAGTGGGCGCGCCACTCTCAGGACGTCTTCAAAAATTGAGAGGAGACTCGTGTTCATATTGTGCAAGTGTGGATGGGGGGCTTGCCATCGCTCGGACGTGTATTCCCCTTGTTGTTCGGTGTCCTGTGTTTTTGTTTCGCAAGATTGCCAGAGATGCTCGTCGATGGTCCTCGCCTAGAAAAAAATGCACACGTCAGACCGATGCCAGGAGGAGGGAGGATGGCGAGGGCAGCCGGCGTAGGTGATGCCTGGCGATAGCGCGCCAAGTTACACGGCGAAGCCAACAAAATGAAACTCGCGCGTCTGCGCCAGCACTCGCCATCGCTCGGACGCCCCTTCCCGTGCATGTTTAGGTTCCGTGTCTTCCCCCAACATGATCCAGGATACTCCTCGTGGTGATCGCCGCAAAAAAATGCACACGTCCGAGCGATGCCAAGAGAATGAGCGAACCATCGACCGCGGTCCTGACAGGATTCGGATCATTGCGGAATTCCAAGTGCGGCTCAGGATGCAGATCCATGCGTACACCGAGTAAGCACCAACGAAACCCATGCTAAATGAATGCATCGATGTGTCGATATTTCATCTGGCGCAATACTCGCGTTTAGTACCCTCGACCGCTCAACAAGATGATGGAGCACAACCGCACACAAGTGCGAGGAGGCCTCTGAACAGACGCTCCTCTGCGAAGTCTGGGAGTGAGCGGAGCCACGAGGGAGAAGGCGCCAGTGCAGCTCCCAGAAGACAGGGGCTCCACAGGACTGCAGTGCAACGGAACAGAACACAAGCAGAAACAAAAACAACAGCAACAACAAAACACGGGCGGCCGCGGCGCGGCGCATTCCCCACCAATCCCGCACGCCCTCGCTGGCGCACATCCCTTCCCCCTCTGTCTCCTCCCTCCTTTGCCGCACCCCCTGAACGTCCTCTCTCGCCCCCCCCCTCCGTTCCCCGCCCCTGGCCGCTCACATGAGGCAAAGCGCACTCGACTCCTGGCCCTCAGGGCCAGACTTCCAGATAGCCCTAGGGCTAGTTTCAGCAGCACGGGTCTAGCAACGCCCATGTCGAGTCAAGTACTCTGCCCGCCCCTCCCCACACCCCCGAACGTCCTCTCCCCCTCCTGCCCCTCCGTTACCTAACCCCCTCCCTCCCAGGAAAACTTGCCAGGGGGCGACGATACTGCACGGCTCGCACACCTGCGCGCGGCGGCAGGGGCGGAGCGCCGCGGAGAGCGGGCGGGGGTGAGGGAAAGGGAAGCAGGCAGTGCTCGAGGCCGGAAGGAGCAAGATGTCTGGGTGACCAAACTTCTCGCATCGCGCCCCACAATGCGATATGTGCGGTGATCTTTCCGCCCTCGCGGAAGCGCCCTGGAGAAGGCCAGCTCGGCGGCGCTGGCAGCAGCGCACGAAGGGTGGTTCTCTTGGCGAACCTAGGGGTGACGTAGCACATGTTGTCCGAACCCGTGGAGGAGCCACACACCAACAAAAAAGCGAACTGCGCTGCTCCGACAGCACGCACATCGACCTGTCGGCGTGCATGCCCCAACGGCGGGCTCGGGGAGGGGCCACGAGAGACGAGAGGCTACGGTCGGGCGCACGCTACATGGATCACGGACTGCAGATGGCGCGCGGACACGAAAGATCCACGGATCGGGACAGGGACCCCCCAAAGCAGGAACCCAATGCCGCCTGAATTTCACCACGGAGCGCGCCGACTCTGCACGGCAACGGGACCCGTCGCTAGTCCACGCGCCTTGGTCCATGTCTGCGCTTCCTCGACACGGGGCACGAGCCACCAGCGCACGAGGAAAGGCCACGCGTCGCCGACCCCGCGGGACGGAGACAACCACGACGGGGTGGGCTGCGAACCGCGAAGGGGCCACGGGCCACGAGCCACGGAGTCCAAGGACCGGCACGGAACCCACGCGAGAGGGCCACGACGATGGGCACACAATGCACGAAGGGCAACGGGCTGCGAGCCTCAAAATCAACAAAAACTGGCCCGAACATCCGTTCCCTCCTCCCCCTCGCCATCCTGCTCCTGCCACTCCCTCGTCCTCTTCCTGGGATGGCGGCCAGGTCTGTACCTCGCCACGGACCACCCACTGATCACCCCAACGAAATCGAGGACGATGGTGCGATGTACCCCCACTGATCATCCCCCCGCCTCTTCTTCTCCTTCCCCTACATGGCACGGACGGCATCTTCTCCACCGGGGAAGCGAGCTGCTACATGTTACGGCCCGCTTGGATGCGACGGCTCTCTGGGCCATGGGAAATCGCACCAGCCCTCTGGGCGTATATGGTTTAGAATGATAAGTCTTCCAACCACCTGTTTCGCCTTCGGGGAGGAGGTTAGCCCTCCCCCTACCCCACGCCGAATAGTTTCCCTCCTAGCGAAAACTCCTGGGGACCTCTTGGAGGCCGCTGGCGGGCTTCGTGTGGGTCTGTGGAGACCTCTTGGGGGCCTCTTGGGGCCTGTAGGGGGTTCCTGAGGCCGTTCTTGCTGCCAACCACGTTTCCCCTGGTTGGCCTTGTCTGGAGCTGGCGAGGCTTAGGGCCCTGTTGGAGCTCTCTTGGGCCTCTCTTGAGGCTCTGTTGGGTCCCCCTAGGGACGTCTCGGGCCGCTCATGAGAACGCCTTTGATTTCTTTTGGAGCCCTCTTGAGACTATCCCGAGGCCTGTAGAGCCACTTACCAAGGCAAAAACTGCAACACTGCAAGACAAGTTGTTGGTTTCCTATCAGGAGCTCTCTTAGGGCGTCTTAGAGCCATCCTGGAACATGAGGGGGGAGGACAAGGAGGTGGAGGAAAGGAGGAGGAGAAGGAGGGACAGGAGGAGGAGGAGGAGGAGGAAGAGAAGGACACACCCATCAAGGAAACTCCACGGAGGAGGAAAGAAGAGGAGGAGGAAGATGAGGAGGAGGAAAATGAGGAGGAGGAGGAGGAAGAGGAGGAGGAGGAAAAGGAGAAGGAGGAGGAGGAGGAGGAGGAGGATAGGACGACAGGAGGACAGGAGGAGGACGAGGACAGGAGGAGGAGCAGGAGGAGGAGAAGGAGAAAAGGAAGAAGGGAGTCTCGGGCCATCCTGGGTCGACCTGGGGGCTGTCCTGGCGCGTCTTATCTCGTCTGGTCTCTTCCTGTCTGGTCTCGCGTCGTCTCAGCTGGTCTCGTCTCGTCTCGTCTCTCTTCTTCGGCCCTCTTGGCGGCGTCCCGAGCCATACTAGAGAGACGGGAGCGCCAATGTCCTCGCCAGGCGCTGACTGGAGGGATTCGCCGGCCTTCTCAGGGAAGTCCTCCCCCTTAGTTCTGGACGGGGCGACGCGAAGTGTCGGAGCGTCTCTTTTGGCCCAAGGTGGCTACAAGATGGCCTCCAAAATGGCACAGTAGATCCTTAGATCATTCAATATAGCGGCCAACATGCCTTCAAGAGGCCTCAAGACGGCCTCAAGTGGGCACGGCGCCTCCCAAATGAGAGATCCCCGAGAAGCCCACATGATTCAGACTCATTAGGTTTGCTTCGTGTTTTCGGCCTTCTCGCATTTTTTCCAGATTGGATTCTGAGGCCTGAAGGTGGCTCCAACATCGCCCAAGAGGGCCCGAAGAGCAGAGCAGAGCAGATAGCAGCTGTCCACGCCTCGGGGGGCGGCCCGAAGACAGGCGACAGGCGTACTTAGCGCGCTGACCCTTCGAGAAAGGACCAGTAA